GGGTTTTTTTTGTCTTTAATCCATAATCATCAAAATTGAAACAAATAAAGGCTTGAAATATTTCACTTTGTGTGCAGTGAACTAATATAACATACAAGTTTCACTTTTTGAAACAAATTATTGAAATAAATGGACTTTTCCTCGATACTCTAATTTTTTGGCACATACCTGTAGTCATAACTAAAATGAAGAATTTCGATGTGAGGGTTGTCACATGGTGCGTAACTAAAACATTCATTCAGAAATAATTCTAACACAGGATGAATACAAGAAAACAATTGGTGTCAAGGTAACTGTAGCTCACAGTTCAGAATCAACACTGTCTTCTAACCTTGAAACAAAGCAGACTAGAGCAGACTTTGAATCTTACTAAACTGCATTACTAACACATTAAAGTCTAACACATTAATATCTAATAATTATCTGACTGATTTACTAATATCTAACAGCGCAAATACAGATTTGACAGTGTAATCCAGGCTGTGCGTGCTCTTGTTTCCACATTATGACTGATGATGGATTGCTTCTTCAATAAATGACCAAACAGTTATACATCAAGTTTGTTTGGACAATGTGCATAAAACAGACCTCTCTGCTCTCCCTTCTCAGCGGCTGATTGTTAGTTTAGATAGTTGCTGCAACACAATGTATGATTTTGCTGAATTGATGCTATTCTATTAATGGTCTGTTTTCATTTTGTGATTGGACTGTGGAGGATTAATTGGTAAATAATTTTACATAAGAGTAGCCCACAGTTTAAGTGTGAATGTGGGAGAACACTGGATATATATTTGTTTTTATTATATTTTTAAGAAATCAATGTGTAATAGTGCTTGAGTGGAATTGTGTTGCAAAAGTGTTTGCTTAAAACACCAATAGTGATTATAATGGTAATTATTTGGGGGTACACATTCTCCTCTGAGAGGAGTCTCACCTCTCCACATTTTGAAAACTGCTTGTTTAGACCATTTAATTTGTCAAAATAATTAGTTGACCGTGATTTTAAGAGAGTTTATTTCTTAATCAAGCACATATACAGTATTTACATATGCAAATACTGTCTTTAATGGTTTGCTTTTATAAGTAACAACTCTGCATTGATTTACATTTTGGAGAATATATACTGGCTATGTCTTTTAACAATACATTCAAACTGAA